CAACAGAGACAGATCCAAATACTGTCCCGACATGCAAAGAAGTCGTCTCCCTGGGGAGCGCCCCTTATGTCCAGGGGGAGGTAACTGCCTCAGTCTAATCTGGGGAACGTTGGAATAACAGAAAATTCTACAAGCAGGAAGTAGAACACGTACTTTGATAAGCGGTTTCCTCTTTATACTGGGGGCCACTGTTATGTAGCGGCTAGATGCTTACTTGTGGATCCGAAAGTCGTGGGTTCAAGTCCCGACGGAGCTGGGCAGTTTTCTTCACAAATGATTTCAGCTAAAAGGTCGACCTAGCCTTATACGGGTGCCAGATGAAGTCATGTGAAGTAAAGGCAGCTAGCATGATGATGATTACACAATCACCCACCAAGTGTCGTTTGGTTTATAAAATATAGGTCTAGCCCTATGTGCCCTATTCAGTGAATAGGATCCTTTACTTTACTTAACCTTCAAGTCTGTCTGTCTGTGTCAGCCTGTCTTTTGGCTGTCAAATCTGTATTTTTGTCATCTCTGGCTTTTTCTTGGCTCTCTTCTATCCGTTAAATTTATAAAGATTCTAACCAATACACGGATGCTTCGTACAGAGTGGCAAGCTTCGCTTCAGAGGTCACAGGTGAGGAGCATTGTCCGGATCTTGTCTCCAATGATTTGCCAGTGAGTTGCGAAATGAACAGACAGACAAACTGGTTGACTCTGCACAACTGGTGCAAAACTGATGCATGATAAGGCAGACGTGGTTAAGGCATTGTGGGACAAAATGTGCGAGTCGAAGGAGCTATAGATTACCAAAGCCTGGTGAGAGTGACGCAGCGGGTAGTGACGGGGGAATATGGCGATACTTGACGATTAGAGGAAGGGCAAGACAGACGCAACATCAGAATACTACTGGCACCATTGATTTTGGAACTCTGCACTGGCTGCTGAAGATTGGAACGAAGCGCTCATGGGAATGCCCCAAGCGCTGTGATGTCGGTTTTTGAAGCAACTTAAGACAGATTCTAGCCATATGACCTGAAATTTTCAAACAACTCCCCCCCCCCCCCCGCCACCCCGCCTCCCTCTCCCCCGACTCCCACTGTTAACAGTTCAATTAGTGAGAGATACTGGCAGTGAATACCGTTGTGCATCCTGTCCTTACCCACAGAGGACTGCAGGCTTCACCCGATAGTGTAGACGTTACGGGTGACCTAATTATAAATTAACTGGGCGTCTGGGATCTGCATTTGGTCTGTCGTCTAGAATAAGATTTTATTTGTATTTTTTTAAAGTTCAGGATGGCAAGATAAACCTTTAGGCAGCAACCCGGCGGGCACACACCGAACGATCGATCAGTTTTGCATTAATAATTATTTATCCTGAGGAGTTTGCAGCATTGAATATTGGCTTTCACAATGGTAGCAGCTGCTAGGCAATATCGAAAGCCTCGCTTTCGATCCCTTTGACTGAAAGAGCTTCACACTGGTCTGGTCATGGCCAGCTTAAGGATATGATGAGACATCCCACCAACCAATAGAGTTGCAAAAAAGAAATGGATGTCAATCGAAATTCTGCAGTTGATGGATGAAAGAAGGAAGAAAAAGAATGTTAAAGAAGAATACTCTAGAATACAAAAAATAAATAGTGAATTAATGCAAAGTGGCTAAAGAAGTCTGGCTGAATCAAACGTATACATTGGTTGGAGAAAATCACAGGAAAGACATGTACCAACAGATAATATGTTAACAGGAAAGATGACAAGTAACTGCACAGGATGTTTAAAATCAAAAGTTGGCGACCTATTAATGGAATATAGGTGTATAGTTAACAGATGGACAGAGTATAAAGGGGAATTGTATGATGATAATAGACCAGATGTAGAACTGCAGACTAACAATGATTGTCCACCAATAATGACTGCAGAAGCTGAGGATGCAATACATCATATGAAGAAAGGAAAAGCACCTGGGCCAGACAATATCTCACTGGAAGAAATCGAACCACTGTGAGATTTTGGAATTAAAAAAATAACTAACTTTAAAATTATATTTATAATAGTGGGTACATTCCAAATGACTTTTCAAAATCCACTTTTATAGCGCTGCCAAAGAAACAAGGCACTTTAAAATGAGAAGACCATAGCACAAAAAGCCTTATGAGTCACACGACTAAGATGTCACTGAGAATAATTATAAAAAGTCATCTAAATGATTGTTAGCAAATAAAGCTGTATGTCAAGTTTTATACTACATCGTTTGTTAAATTCCAAGTGTATTCAGTCTTACCTGTTTAACTAAACTATTAGATAAAATTACATTTGGTGGGCGCTCTTTAATAATTCTTTACCAGTAGGAGGTTGTTGGAAAGGGGTCACCTGCCCTGTCTAACAATTCATTACGTAAAGTAATCTAGACGTCTAAAACCCCTTTACTTCTCCTGTGGATACCAAGTGCAGCTGTTGTGTATTTACATGACGAGCCAAATATGGCTGTTTTCTTGGATATCCAGGACTTTTTCTGAGATCAGCATAGCTCGGATAATAGTCCAGGTTCTCTGGTGGAGGTGAAGTGTTGAGAGGAAAATTCCTGCTCATCACAAAAGCATCTATCCACTTCGGGACCCGCGACATATACACACATGACATAATCCTAAATACACTAATGACATCAACTCACTTTACTATACTAGCTTTTAACATATACACTAATGACATAATTCAACATATTCATAATAACTAAATCCCATTATACTCTGATAACTTTATTCAACATATACACTTATGACAACATCACACATATATATGATATCATCCCACATGTACACTAATGAGATCATTTTACATACACTAATGACATCATCACACATATAGACTAACGATATCATCACACATATACACTAATGTCATCATCTTACATACACTAATGACATCATCACACATATACACTAATGATATCATCCCACATATACACTAATGACATTATGTTACATACACTAATGACATCATCACACATATACACTAATGACATCATCCCACATATACACTAATGACATCATCTTACATATACTACTGACATCATCCCACTATACTTACTAAACTAACTTTTAACATATACACTAATAAGTTTATCCCACATATACACTAACAAGTTCATTCCACATATACATTAGTAAGTTCGTCCCGCAAATACACAAATAAGTTCATTCCACATACACACTAAAAAGTGCATCCCACATATGCACTAGTAAGTTCCTTCGACATACACACTAATAAGTTCATTCCACATATACATTAATAACTTAATCCCACTATATACTATTAACTTCATTCAACATATACACTAATGACATCATCCCACATATACACTAAAAATTTATTATATACACATAAGGCGTTGTGTGTCCGACTCGAAATCCAACGTACCGCGATCTGCACCCAATGCGGGCTGCGTGGATTTTTATCGTGGTATGGGACGTCGCAGGTCGACCCAGCCTCAAATGGGTACCAGGATGGCTGTCCTGGGAAAGTAAAGACGGTCGGCTTAATGCTGACCACATTACCCACCGAGTGCCGATTGGTCTGTAAAAATATGGCTTTCCATATGCCCGATGCGCCTAAAGCGTGAAAAGGGATCTTTACTTATTTTTACTTATTATCTTGAGTCCACAAATACACTAATATTATAATTCCACATATACATTATTAACATTATACACTAACAACCTTATTCCGCTATACATTAAAAACTAATATCAATGTTGCACTAATAACTTCATTTCTCACAAAATAACAGGGTATGCCGTCTCTTGCTACATCTTGTCAGCGTTACAGTTGCTACAGCGACTCTCTCTCTCTCTCTCTCTCTCTCTCTCTCTCTCTCTCTCTCTCTCTCTCTCTCTCTCTCTCTCTCTCTCTCTCTCTCACTCTCTCTCTCTCTCTCTCTTACTCTCTCTCTCTCTCTCTCTCTCTCTCTCTCTCTCTCTCTCTCTCGCTTTATAGTGCTTGACGTTCCTGATTTTCTTAGCGCCGTTTGAAGCCCAAGGATGACACAAGGTCACCACACAAAACTTTTAAACTTTTCTGAACATTTTCAGATTCCGCCCGTGTGCATCCATTAATTAAATATCCCTTTCATAATAACAGTTTAATCATTTTAGTTGGCCCTATTTTGTACATTGATATTTTTATGTAATTAACGGATATCGCTTCAATGACTTAATCAGTGCAACTTTTTGACGACTGTATTCTATAACTGAACAAATATGACAACTATTAAAAAATCACAGGCGTCAGCAAATAAAGATATTTTTGTCAAGAAATTCTACCCCCACAGAATTCAAGCATGTGTATGACTTACAGATAGTGGATTTTTATCAGGGTAGGGATGTCGACGCAGCCTAAAAGAGACCCGAAAAGTTTTAGGTGACTGAGATTCTAAAAATTTTAGGTGACGAACTTGATTCCCCTAGAAGATTCCATTTTCAATTTGAAGTTATGTCTTTTCCAACAATAACATCTATATTAGGATGTTCTGTGTGAAAAGTGATCGGCTGCGTGCTGTGCACATTATAGACGACGAATCTGATTTCCAGAAAGGATTGCACCTACATTGTGTTGTCTGGTGTAGGGATGTCTATATCCACAGATAAAGCGCAGGCCAGGATATACAGTGTAGAATACCGTGACATCTTTTGAATGGATCAATCAGAAATTGCGCTGATATATTCTGATGACATGTGTGTCTTCGGTTAGTCTACAAGCCACCCTTCAAGTCCCAAGAGCAAAGGTGATCAAGAATTCCCAAGACGAGTTATAAGAATTCCACAGGGAGCTGGCACAAGAAGACACAACTGGACCGACAGAAACTGAACCCTTTAGCCAATATTTCAACCTTTTAATATCTGGACGCTTTATAGGATCGATCCTTCCCGTATCATGACTCGCGCCGAATTAAAAAAAAAAAAAAGCTTAGACCGGTAAAGCAGGACAGCTCTAAAAAACATTACATGAAATGGAACTGTTATGATGCAGGGGATTTATGTTGAAATGTAAATTCAGGATCTGATAGGATGGTGACATTGACGTATGGAGCACACATACCACTGATGTAAACATCCTCTAACCAGATTGGTTTAACCCTAAGGGCAGCCTCGTACAAAAGTTTCGCCGTGCTGGCTGGATACCCCACAAGTCCACCCAGAAGATACGGGGGTAAATTACGCTTGGGGTATTCCCTAAGTGACATATAATACTTGCTGTTGACATCGCGAGCGGGAACGTCGTTCACTAGCTTACGCCCTATCATAAAGTTGTCTAAACTCCTAGCAGTTCGTTCTAACACTGGCACCAAAGAAGATATATTTATGCCGATGTCGTCATCTGTTCGAATTACATATTTAGCGCTGGTGCAGTACTTGCTTATCCATCGCAACATTGCTACAGATTTTAATCGGTTGTTTTTGTAAACATCTTCAAAATCCTCTTGTATTATATCTCCAAATACCTTTGCTTCTTGATCGATCTCTTGCTGGATTGTTGTCATATTCTCATTTACCGAAGGCTTACCTAGGAAAAATAACATTGCTGCATGGTTCGTTGCGTTTTGAACATATTCTCCTCTGGAACCATCTCTTGCCGTTTGGCGCTTCACGAAGTTTGCTGCAGCAGAAGGCACTACTAGAAGAATATCTATTTTGTTTCTTGTGCAGAAGTCCACATCGTTGTGGATGTAAGCGAAACTGTGATTGTTGATAACTGGTAAAGACCAGAAGGGTGTTGGTTCTCGTCCCATGCTAAGCGATAGCAAAGTCATCATGGTAGTTATGACTGAAACGCCGATCAAGAGTGCGATTGCCCGGGCTACTTCTTGATTCGAACAGAGCATTGCTTTCAATCACTTCTGGACTACCTGTGTAAAAACAAAACAAAACAAAATTAGCATGAATTATCATTACATTAGAAGAACTCGCTGGCCGAGTGGCTACAACGTTGGATTCTCATGTAGAAGATTTGAGTTCGATCCCCGGCAACCTGCACACTCCTTGGCGACAGCACTAGCCAAATAGACCTAAATTCTCAGGCTGACAGACAACACCTGTCTACACCGCCCTAAAAAAAAGAAGTAAATACGGACAGTAGTAACAGTTTACATTGCATTAAAAGTGATGACAACGATATAAATAAATCAATTAACCTAAGAGAGACTTTGACTAGTAGGTTGACCGAGTGGAAGGGAAAAGACACCCATAAATACAACGGAGTATTGTTATCAGTCTTAACTAGCAAATATACCACACAAGAGATTATTACATGGATGGTCACAAGAATTTGATCTGTAATTCTGGCGATCCTGTTCCTGTATCGACAGGAAATAAAGGACACATGATGATGATTAGTAAAGTAAAAGTTAAGATCCCTTTTCACAGCTTTAGACACATTACCCATATTTTCACAGACCAATCGGCACCAGGTGGGTAATGTGGTGGTCACCATTACAACGGCCCTTTACATCCCCAGAACATTCATCCTGGTACCAATTTTAGGCTGGTTCGACCTGCAACGCCCCATACCATGATAATAATCCAAGCAGCCAGCAGTGGATTTTGATCGCGGTAAGCTGGAATTATGAGTCGTACTCGTAGCGCCTAAGCCACGGACGCCCCTATGATGATGATTAAAAAAATAATAATAATTTTAAGCAGCTTGCAAAACGGAAGAGAACCCGAGGATTGTGTCTGTCCTCTTGTCAAGTGATCTGTTGGCGACTTCTGCTACCGTCGATGATGAACTGTATTTCTAATGTCAAACTGTTTGTGTTAGCACTTTTGATGGGGGGGGGGGGGGGTGAAATAGAACCACGTAACAAATATGTTGTAAATGTAGACTAACTAGGTTTTTTTTTTTTTTTAAAGTCGAAATACATTTGCATAAGAGGCGAGGAACCAACAGTCTGCATAAAAATAATCTGAAGTGTTTAAGGAATGGGCATGCACAATTTATGTTTTGGAGCAGAACAGAAGCTCAAAAGTGCACAAACTACCAGAACTTTCCTGTAGAGTTCACAGCCGGTCAACGCTAAGAAAAAGAAGAAGATTACGAAAACATTATGTAATTGCTGTATGGACGCGACTTTATAGACAAATGGTAAGCACATCATGGACAGGTAATCAGTTTTAGAAAGATATCTCCAAGAAAATAAGCCCATAAGAGAACTGACCTCCGACATCACAATGATGTTATCTATAATCCTTGGCCAAGTCGTCATTGGTAACGATGGAGTGCATCGCGACAGCAAGAAAAGGCGAATAGAGGCAGAGGGAGACCAAGAGAGATGATGATCTAGAGCAGGGCACCAGAATATTGGGCCCAGGCAGCTTTAGAGCCGCTTAATATTATAGTTGAGAGAAAAAGAGGCAAATAAATTTATTTAGCACGCAGTTTGAGGTTTGAACAACGGATCTATTTCATGGCACACGGGTAGTAACCAAGAATGTTCGTCACAGTTCTTTTTTTAACTCAAGTCTGAGTCCGAAGAAGCTCAGCACAGTTCACAAATCTGTAGCACTGGCGGGGATCCTAAAATACTTTGGGTATATTTTGAAGTCCCAATTTTGCATGGAAGCCCATGATTGGAAAACAAGCCTGCTGGATGTCAAAACCAAATTAAGACGAACGATGGAAAGTGACCTGAGTGCGGCATCTTTAATATGGAAAACCGCACTGAAGATTGCACAGGACAGGAAAGTATGGAAAGTCCTCTCTGAAACCTTATGTACCACTGGGCATAAAGAGATCTGATGATGATGATGACGACTAATTTTGCCCGGGCAGTGCCTTAAGCCTACTCTTTTCGTTTCCAACTGCCAAGGAAAATTTTTTACGTGCGCAACAATGCACACTGGCGTCCGATCTCACCACCCAGAGACCAGGGGGAATTACTAGAAGTCCGACTACAGGTGAAAAAAATCACAGCCCTTACTTGTGATTGAACCCGGCACCTTTAGCACTCGAGGTAGACACCATGTCCTGAGACCACGCAGCTCCCTTAAGGACGAAGGAGATGGCTGAATATAGAGAAAGAATAAGAAAAGCGAGAGGTAATATTCTGAGCACATACTTATAAGCAACTGAGAGAATCAGAAAACGCATTGAAATAATGGGAAATAAATTCACTGAGAAAAAGAAGACGTCAAAGATAAATTCTATAACGAACGTTGATGACAGAGGAGGTCACGTGTGACTGATTATACAGTCCACTGTAAATTTGCATAACAGACTGACTGACTTTCTACCCCGCCAGGACATCACACAAGCGATGAGCACCCGATGACACAAAGTGCCACCATATGGGTGAGGATCACCGTGGAGAGGTCCCAGAAACCGCGTTCATATTTATGGTCAGGCTATATTGCGGCCCCTGGCAAAAGCCAGATTAGGGCTTCAACAAATTTCATACTAAAAAGGACTGAAAGTTTTCTTTTGCTCATCAATATAATTTGCATAACATAGCACAGGGTGGAGGAATCGAATGCCAGCATTATGAAACGTATGGCGACACAAAATGATAATGAAGATGTAAGTTAAATTTTAAAAAATAAATAAACGCGACGAAAGCACGTGTGAGAATCATCAATCGAAGTCAACTTACCACCAACACTGCGATATACGATACAGGTAATTTGTCACCGTTTGACAGCACAGGTTTTGAGTTATAAATCTCGATAAACTCACCACCAGGGTCGATAATCCAGTCTTTTGAATATATAAAAACCCCGCAACATAACCAGAAACAGCTTCTGTGATGGTGATATCGCAGTTAATATATCCCAACAGACTGTGCAACGGTCTAGTGAGCACATCCCACCTGTTTCCTCTCATTTAAACACAGACACATCTACGCTATTAACTCGCACATATCTGAATGACACATTTCTGACCATTATTTGCAATAGTCTGAATAAGAAAACTGAAGGTTTTGTTTCGTTTTGCTTTGGTTAAACTTTTAAACCTTCCAGGTCCACTGAGCTAAATTGGGCGCTAAGCAATGTCATTTGAAGTGAATGCGACAGGCGTGATACTGACCACATTACCCATCGCGTGACCAATGGTCTTTAAAAATACAGGTCTAGCACAAAATGCCCTATATTCCCATAGCGTGAAGAAAGTCAGTTCATTCACTGTACTCTTTTCTGTACAGGATATTTAAGCGTATCGGGTAACCAGCAGTTTGATATATCAGCTGCTGCTGCCCCTCTGGGTGATGAGCTACTATATGATAAAGCAGATACATTGAGGGCTCTTTAGGACCAAATCAACATCATTATCATGTGCCCTGCCAACCGGCGTAGGCGCTTATGCGTCTCCACAGATCACAATCCCTGGTTGACTGGAACAGCTCTCAGGATGATATATATATATATTCCTCCACGCCATCGTTTTAGCCCTTCCAGCATCATCTCTCTTTCTGAAATGCAGATTTTGCTTGACCTATTCTGCTTTTAATCTCTGTCACACATTTTCCATAGGATCAAATGGACAGATAGAGAAACCATATACTGAAAGACTAATTCATCGGGGGTTGAGCAGAAGTTCTGGGAGATATTCAACACTGAATGGAATGGAGACAGACTTTTAATCAAGCTGTAACTGGTACTATTAGCATGTCAGCTCTTCGATAGTTACTGAAGAATGTGACCGAGCACGTGTGGAAATGTCCCTAGTGCAGTGATGTGAAGTCTTGATTCTTTAATTAATTTATTAATTTATTCATTCATTCACTGTGCCACTATTCCATAACACATCACACAGGTCTCGTAGTCTATTTATTCATTCCGTTCTATTCTGTGTATTCACTTCATTATCATGGATGACATCCGGTCCACCCTCTTTAGCTTCTCTTTTTAAAGACAATTCCGTATTCTAAATATGTAACAAGCACACAAAACAATTAAAGACGACACTGTAGGGATATCTCAGTGAATGTATCCTCATGGACTGTGCAACTGTCTACTGAGCCCACCGTACCTGTTCTTCTCATTCAAATATATCAGTTCACGGACGTCCGAATGACAGATACAGAGATGTCAGTGTGTTTGAGTGATTGAGTATGTGTGTATGTGTGTGTATGTATGTATGTGTGTATGTATGTATGTATGTATGTATGTATGTATGTAGGTAGGTATGTAGGTAGGTAGGTAGGTAGGTAGGTAGGTAGGTAGGTCGGTCGGTCGGTCGGTCGGTCGGTCGGTCGGTCGGTCGGTCGGTCGGTCGGTCGGTCGGTCGGTCGGTCGGTCGGTCGGTCGGTCGGTCGGTCGGTCGGTCGGTCGGTCGGTCGGTCGGTCGGTCGGTCGGTCGGTCGGTCGGTCGGTCGGTCGGTCGGTCGGTCGGTCGGTCGGTCGGTCGGTCGGTCGGTCGGTCGGTCGGTCGGTCGGTCTGTCTGTCTGTCTGTCTGTCTGTCTGTCTGTCTGTCTGTCTGTCTGTCTGTCTGTCTGTCTGTCTGTCTGTCTGTCTGTCTGTCTGTCTGTCTGTCTGTCTGTCTGTCTGTCTCTCTGTCTGTATGTATGTATGTATGTATGTATGTATGTATGTATGTATGTATGTATGTATGTATGTAGGTATTATGTATGTATGCATGAGCTTGTGTGGATGTGTTCACGAGCAAGTATGATTGTATGAGCTTGTGTATGTGTTTGTATGCATAGAGGGGTGTATGTATGTTGGCACCTTTCAGTCGTTCCAGACGATTGTGTTATTTTGTGCTATATGGAGGTATGGGACTCACAGCCCTCGGCGATAGCGAGTGTGACAAGCAAAGAAAAGCGTTAAAGAAAAGTCTTCCACGATTAGAGAATTGTGTGTATTGACCTGTGGTGGTAGATTTTCAGT